TCGAAAAATGTTGATAGTGTGTCTTCCGGGTAGGCCGTAAAAACATCAAATATATCTTCACCGCTAGACGTAGTAACAGGTATTACATTCGATGAGCTACCCGTCAAGTTAGAGTTACTTGTTGGGTAAGTCTCCGTATTTCTTAATACCTGATGATTAATTAAAAATTATAAGAAAAATTTTGGAATTAAATATTGTATTGATTTTTATGAATTACTTACGGTTGAAAGCAGAATAACACTGATAGTGAACATTTTTATTGAGTGCATATTATTTCTATTTTATATTAGATCGATATTACTGTATATGAAATAAATTGAATATTTTGTGATGCATAATACGTTATATAGTTTTCAATACTAGACTAATGGTTATTTGCTCGATATTAATTTTGATTAAATATGTTTGATGTTTGACCAAAAAAAAATTAATTGCATGGCATTCATTACTAAATTATGTTTTTTTGAAGTTTATAGAGAAATTATTAATTTATGTACATAAATATTTAATAGCAGTTATGCACAACAAATATTTTTATAATTTAATATTATGTTTATGTATGTATTTATAAGTTAAATTAGATATAACAAAAATTTTTATATTAATTATTTAAACACTTAATTAAAATTGTATTTAGTTAATTTTCCTATTGTATTATAGATATATCAACTGAAAAACTATTGTATATTTTCGTTGATGATAATTCAATTAAAGTTTTTTTTTGTATCTAATTTTTATATATTTGATGATTAGCTATTAATTAATTGCTTTACATGACAATTCTTTTAATGTTAGCCACTTGATTTATCTTTAAATAATAATTTTTTTCTTGTGTTTGTTAGTTACAAATGTATTTTCATTTGTTTCTTGTAAAATAATTTTTATGTTTAGCCTTTATTAGTTATATAAGGATGTCACATTAATTTTTTTCAATAGTAAAATACATAGCAGTTAACTATTAAAATAAAAAATTATGTAATTAAGAAATAGAGTGGTCGATTATTTGACCAGTATTTCAAAATTTATTTATAATTTAAAATTATAACTGGCGGTAAGTTGTGGGTGCTGTTATTTTTATCAATATAAATGTCTATTAACTTCTTCCCTAACCGTGGTATAAAACGTTGTTTCTAAACAGTCATTTTTTTAAATATGTAACTAATAAACTAATTTACGCTAATTAATTACATATGCTTATATGAAATATGAAATTTTCCCTAATAAGGTGTATAGAATTGACATAAAATATATTTTTAACAGATAATTGTATACGTGTGTAACTAATTAAAGCAAAAAATAAAAAAAATTACAAAACAATATTGTTTTATGAGAAATTGTGCAAGTGTTAAAATAATTAACAGCCTATTTATACATTTTTTAAATAAATTTTTCTTACTTTTCAAAAAAAATTTTAAGCTGAGCTAAGTATAATTTTCAGAACATTTTAAATCTCTATTACTTTCGCAATACATATTATAATATCTATATATAAAATAATCAGTTTTACATCGTTATATTTGCCGAAAATAACATGCAATAGATGGCGGTGGACCTCTTTTACATGTTAGGGATGATTCTTGGCTATGACAATGTTGGACGGAACGGGTTTAAAACGGACTCGCACCAGAGACCACCAATGGAAAATCACAAGAAAAATCTTGTTGGCACCCTAAGTATCAAACCGGGGATACTGTGCGTCGAAACCTATGTCTTTACCCCTAGGCTAGGTCAACCTCTAAAATATTATACATAAGCCATTTAGATATATATAATTTTTTTTATTAAAATACTTGTAACTCAATAAATTCTTCTCTTAAAATTGTTTTTGTCCCTATAAAATTAAGAGCAATATGACATGACTTACGTCGCAAAATTGTTATTTGAAAATTTTGAGAAGACTAAGAATTAATTATTTTAGTTACTTTTTTTCTTATTAACAACAAATAATACAAAGTTAAGTGCAGTTGAAATCCAACGTAGTTAAAAAATTGAATTTTTATAGTTTTGTATTGATCAATATTTGAAAGTAACAATTGTGTTTTTTTTCTATTTCTTTTTATTACACAGATCCTAGGGAATATTTTAAAATTATGGGGCTGTTAGCTCCGACTAGATAAGTTTTGCGATCTCGTGATGTATCATTGAGCAATATCAGTCCAGTAGAAGCGGAGGAGTATTCGTGTATAATGATAAAAAAAAAAACGCGTCAAATTAAGATCAATACATTTTCAACTAAACATTGAAGTTAAACTATGCTATAAATGTAAAATAACGGTACAAAAATTGTTTAAAAAAAATTACATCAAAATAACAATTGAATCAAAATAATTTCGATCCAATTGTTATAAATTATCTATAAAAATTGTCAATTGTCTTTGATATATTCTGTACACACAACATAACTAATAATAGTCTTAACCAGCGTGGTTATTAAAATCCAATTTGTATAATTGTGTTGTAGTTAAATTTATATTAAATTTTATATCACATTTAATATCGCAATAATGCATCCACAGATTTTTGTTGAAATAAGTTCAATATAACGATTTTGTATGCTTTGTATCAAAGGTATATATTTAATTAGAGTTAAATTAATGATAAGTAGTTTATAGGAGTCTGAAACTATGTTTTTTTTAACATCGGTATCATTTCAATTTTTAGGATATTTAATAGAAATATATCGATTATTAATATTTTCGATAATTAAAACCACTTATAAAAAAAGTACCATATAAAACAACTATAAAAATAATAAATTCGAAAATATTAAATAAAATAACGATTCTAAATTAATGAAAATAGTAATTTTTTGTTAAATAGGCTTTTTTATTTTTAGAATAAAATTTGAAAATTTCATTAGTCCTTGTTCATATAAATTTCTCAATTATATAATAATTTTGGTACTACATTGTAGGAGCATCTAAATATTGGATTGAACCGTCGTCATGTGTCAGAAAAATTCACATGTAATATTTATAAATAACCATTTTCCAAAATGTATAGGTCGTTGGAAATAAAACGTATTTATTCGGTGTCAATATGCTTTGTTTAAACAATTTTATTATTTGACGCATCTAACTTGGTTAAGTACAATATTCTTGTTCGATTTTGATGATTAATCAAATATATAACTATTTTTTGTTAATAAAACAAACCATAAATGAAAATATATAAAGTGTCACTAATTAATCAACATTTCTAACGAAATTCCACATCATAACTATTTCGTCAGTGAACACATCACAACACAAATAAATGAATATAATCGCTTGTTTAGACTTCATGATAATGACATAAAAATGTAAATAACANTCATGATAATGACGTAAAAATGTAAATAACATAATATACACATGTTGACGAAATATTCGGTTTGTTAATAGTTTTCTGCTTAATATTCCAAAGATAGTTCTAATTCGATAATGCAGCCAAACACAAGTAGCCGATTTATGTAAAGGTAAGAAGAAATAATTACTTATTACAATACCACTATTACAATTATTATTATAGTATCACTTATAATAGATTTAGTTGTATTCTAATATATAGTACGTTATAAAACAAATAGGGTTTTAAGTCAATTTGATAAATCCTGATGTTTGTTCTATTGAATCTTACAATCAAGTAATAAAAATGAAAATAAAAATGTTTAGTTCAAAATGGTAAACAATTTTATTTTTATAAGAGTGAATCACTTTTACTTAAATAAAATAATTAAGAAAAACTAATAATAAATTAAAATATATAATACTAAAAATTACAAACATATTTAAACAATATTCGCATAAATTTGATATCTTTGGCAATATTATTATAACTAAAATATATATTCTTTCTCCTCACCTTTATCCCAATTACTTGGGGTCGGCCACCCTTATCCTAAACTTCCACTTAACACGGTCGCAGACATCATCAACCCTACTCATAACGCATTCAGTAACATCTCTATCTTTTTTAGTCTTTCTCTATCTCTTCTTCCCTCAACATTCATATCCATAACTGTTTTTACAGCTTCTGATTCATCTATCCACATAACATGACCAAACCATCGAAGTCTATTTTCTCTCATCTAAACCACGATTGACGCTACATTTATAGCCCCTCCTAAATGTTCGTATAATCAAAATATATGATAGTAATAAAATTTCAAACTAATATTAAAATACTAACATATTTAACATACTAACATTTTTTATTCAAAAATAAAATTATGATTTTAAACTTTTGAAATAATTATATTTAGTTTTTTTCATACTCGACGTAATGCAATTAATTTATTAGATTGATAACAGTACCATTAGTATTAACATTTTATTTGGAATAATAATTATTGCAACGATTCAAATAATAAGATTCACACCATTTATCAAAATTATAGCAGAAAATAATTAATGTATGAAGTCTCACGTGTGTACGTTTTCAGATAACTTGATTTTTTTTTCTATTACATAATATCTTCACAGAAATTATCTTAAATAATACGGAAGTTAAAACTTAGATTAAGTGAGAAACGTATTTAAAGACCCTAGTTGATGGGGTAGGATATCCTTCAATGGCATCAGCGGCCCCTCAAAATAATATGGTAGCTGACTTTGATAGATTTTAGATAAATTATTAATAGCATAATTTGATTGTCTAAATTTAAGTTTGTATTTTTTCATAGATTTTGTTACATTATCTTATATGACCGTACCTATAATTAATAGACAATAAAATGTATGCGTATAGTAATATATACTTTTCTCAATTCTAAAGTATTACACCACCAAATTTTAAAATAAACGCAATCGTTCTCCATTCTTCTTATATAATGTTTTTACGTGAAGTAATTTAATTAATTTTTAAACGGTAATCTTGTTATGACCTGTAGTTCATTTTTGTGATTTATCGTAGTCCACCGGGGCCAACGATATTATTTACTTTATGGATTATACCGTTCCTATTTATCGTGTTTCTTACCCTGCGGTAGTCTTATTTACCGGCTACCGGTTAAATTTCTTTACCATAGAAAAATTAATTAGTTTAAACAACACTCTTGAGAGGATTTTAAGTCTGTTGGATTAAGAAGTAAACACTTGGTAAAATTTGAAGACGAGCACAGCATCAATATAAACGAGATTCTCAACAACGTATTAGAACACACAAAAAATGTGAGATTGTTTCCGCGGAAATGCTTCATAATCAAGTGAATAAAATTATGCAAAAGTAAATTAAACGCTGAGCATAACCTCTGCTCTAATCTGCGTCAAATAAAAAATTTAGTCTCTACTCATTTATCGAGAAAAATAAAAAGTTAAACGTTGTCTGAGATATATTTACATAAATGACGATTTTAGATACAACA